ACAAAAGCAAATTTGTTTCTACAGCCTGTACTCCTGAAGCGACTAATCTGGACACGGCTTACATGGGACTGGTGCATCCCATGGTTGTCCCCAAGCCGCCGCTGAGCTTGAGCACGGCGAGCTTGTCAAGCAGTTTCTTGGTTGCCTTAATGTCTGCATTTATTACTTAGACAAATCAGTCTGGCATTCACATTCCCATGCATCCGATTCAAGGATACGCAGAAGAACATCAAGGATTCAGTGGGCACCTTGGGCCGGGGCTTACACTTCCAGGATGTGGTACGGCGCCACCAACTCGTCCGTGGGTGTGGGGATCTTGGCCCGCTCGATGAGCTCCTCGTCCCCGCTTTAAGTGGTGTTTAAATATATCGGGATGTCACGTGTGAGTGTTCAGATAGTAATAATAAAACAAATTACAGAAGCCCTCGGTAATCCGCGAGACGAATTTATCAAGCCTAATTAATTCGTCATTAGCTTGCGTGTTTATTTAGCACCACTTTGTCAAATCATGGACTAATTAGGCTTAAAAATTCATCTCGCAAATTAGTCGCAATCTATGCAATTAGTTATTTTTAGTCTATATTTAATACCCCATGCATGTGTCCAACATCCGATGTGACGGGAGGAACTAAACAAGACCAGTCCGTGTGGTCGATCGATCGCCATTTCTCTCATTCGAGCGGTTCTTGGTCATGAGATGATGCGTATACTTACACGAGGTAGCAGCCGACGGGGCTAGGGAAGCCGAATTTCTCATTCTCATTGGAGACACCAAGAAACCAACCAAACAGTGTGACCGAGAAAAAGCATCGGGAAGGGATAAGGCCGGCGGCGGATCACGTACGGGCCGGTGGCGTGATAGGGCAAGGGCAGGACGGAGGCGGTGGTGGGGGTAGGGGCGGGACGGCGACGACGGCGGCGGGCCATGGAGACGACAGAGGGTGGGGCGGACTTCGACCTCGATGGCGATGACCACTGCGAGCGGCGAAGCGAGGCGAAAGCAGCACGGCGGAGGTCACCAGTGGTCTGTGAGGTGACCAATGCGAGAGGAGGTCGGCTGGCGAGGGCGGGCGCTAGGGCGAGACTGCGGGATTTGGAGCCGAGGAGAGGATTTGTCTTTCCTTGTGCTGGAGCGAGGCATAGGGGATCGTGGCCCGTCGTGCGCGGGCGTCGTGCGTGGGCGGGGCAATTAGCGCGGATTGGGGCGATTAGTTTAGCGGTGACGATGACATCCGAGTTTTTTTAGTTGTAGAGATATAGACATAAGTCGCTTTAACTTTTTTTATATCCATTTTGCTATGTATCTGGATATAATATCTAGATACATAGTAAAATGAATGAACCAAAATAGTCAAAGCGACTTATAATTTAGAATTGAGGGAGTACATATCCAATTTCAAGAAAAAAAATCACTAATATATACATGCATGGTTCCAATTGGCTTTACAGATGGATCGCAAACGTTGGTAAATTGTTCATCTGATTTAGTGTCAAAAGAAAGATTATACATGAGCCTTGCATTTTGTCAGTTATTTCTTCAACCGTGTCATGGACAAATAAATGCTAACGAATATACAAAGACAAACATGAGCCTTGCATTTCGTCAGTTATTTCTGTTGATGAAGCAATATAGCTTGATAAAATTCGATTAAAGTTGCAACTGGGTAGAGTTAGAATTTACTAGAGTTGAGTGATTCCTTTTTTTATTTTCGAGTAAACTTAAATTATTGGGCATTACCATATAGGTACTCGAACTGAAAAAGCTACCACCTGGGTACTTAAACTATGGAAGCATTACCACCTGGGTACTCGAACTAAAAAACCTCCCACTTGGGTACTTAAACTATTGGGCCATTACCATCTAAATGCAAATCACAAAAGAGTGACGGGGAATAGCGGAAAAATGAATTTTGATTCTTTTCTTTTTTTTTCAAAATGGATGAATAGTGCTAAATTTGTTATTTTTGTAAAAATAATTAGAGCTCAAACATTCTAAAATTTTTGTGTAGCCTCTATTGATATATACTTTACCTAGGAAAAATATGAAACTTGGAAAATGAATTAAAAGAGGTATGTTTAAATATACCTCTTTTAATTCATTTTCCAAGTTTCATATTTTAAAATAGGTAGAGTACATCATATAGAGGCTACACAAAAATTTTAGAATGTTTGAGCTCTAATTATTTTTTTTTTTAAAATAAAATTCCAAAGCACTATTCATCCATTTTTAGAAAAAAAAAAAGAATCAAAATTCATTTTCCCGCCAATTCTGGTCACTCAAGAAAATGCTGCGATTTGCATCCCTGTATGGTAATGGCCAATAGTTTAAGTACTCAAGTGGAAGGTTTTTAGTTCGAGTAACTATGTGGAATGCCCCATAGTTTAAGTGTGTAGCAGTAGCTTTTTTCAGTTCGAAAGATTCCTAGATAGTAATGCCCTAATATTTAAGTACCAGGGTGCATTTTACTCTTTATTTTCTGATTGATAATATACCGTGAATCGGATGGACACGTGTATCATCCTCCCATACGTCCTCGCTCGACGTACGCACGGCCACAGGCCCACAGCCCACAGCAGGATGGGGACAGGGGAGGCCGAGAATCTTAGGCCATGGGCCGCGTCCGCTGCGCCGCGTTCCGACCCGCCCGGAGGCAAGACGACGACGGCGCTCAGCAGGCGCGCCTCGTGAGCTTGCTGGGAATGGCCGGGATCGCAAATCCTGAACGGCATGGCCCGCGCCCGGCTGGTCTGGTTGTCTGGATGCCGCCGCCTGCGCGAGGCAATCCAAACCCGGCCGACGGCGAGCGCGAGAGCCGCCGACAGGATTTGAAGCCCGACGAGCCACGACGCGGACGTTTTCCAAACTCGGGGTAGGTCGTCGACACAGGCCGTGCGGGGCGGCTGCTGCTTCCGCCACTTGCGAGTAGGGTGCAGCCGGGACCCGACGCCGATAAGCTGTTCATTTGTATGGCTGATTTCTGATTTGTTGGTTAATAAGCGCCGGCTGAAACGAACGTGGTTATGGGAAATCTGAAGCCGAGGACGGACGGGCAGGGGCGGCGTCACATCTCATATTCTCATCTGACTGCCGCATCCGACATCTCATATTTCCCGGGACCCCACGGCGGCCGGCATAGCACGGGACGCCCGGGACGCGCGCCTGGCCTGACGTCGTTTTCACGTGGACTGTCACCGTTGCATACGAGTGCTCCTATCTCCGAAAAAAGCGCCCTGGGCAGCTTGGCAAGGGAGGCCCGTGTTTAGTTAGTTGAAAGTTGAAAATTTGGCTCTCGTAGCACTTTCGTTTTTATTTGATAATTAGTGTTCAATCGTGGACTAATTAGACTCAAAGCGTTCATCTCGTAATTTTTAATCAAACTGTGCAATTAGTTTTTTTATCTATATTTAATGCTCTATACACGTATTGTAAGATTCGATGTGTACTATAACACTTTTTGAAAAAACTTTTCGTAAAGGACGAAGAAAGAACGCGAGTGATCTCTCCTTATCTCTCTCACGTGTAAGAGCACCTGCAGTAATGTAGCTTGCACTCAGTGCTACATGTCCAATGGTTTAGGCTGTTCGTTTCTCTTATAATTCGTATTTTTTAGCTTGTTTTTTCAACCGAAATAGTGTTTTTCTCTCTCAATAAATCAGTCAGAACAATGTTTCAGCTTATTTTTCCAGCGAAGCGAACGGGGTCTTAGCTAATAGCTATAGCAGCGGTAAGATCCTGCTGAGTAACCGTCTGTTCGGGAGGCCGTATCGTATCGTGGATTATTTACTGCTGGCTGGTTTGGTGTGAGAGAAAAACACTGTTCTCGGCTGAAAATTTACGATCGTTTACGAGCAAACGAACAGGCTAAGCCTGCAATGCCAGCTTGTTGTTACCTAAAATGATGATTCTATAACGGACGAGCAAAAGCGCGACTCCACCGCCTCACCGTCTCCAAAGGACGTGATTGGTTGGCTGTAGATCAGCTGGCCTGGTCCATAAAATGCAAGGTTGAATTGTTTAGTTGTGTGAATGTCTAATTGGTCTTGGTCTGACTCGTGCAAAATAGCTATCACGAGCGTCTTTCCTACCTGATACCTTTGTGCTGCTTGCAGGAGCCGCCATATCATGGTGAGCACACAAATCCGCTAGTAAACTACCCTCTTCTGTTCCTCACCACTGCAAATATCCTGCATTCCTGCAATATTAATTTGGTTTTCATTCCCCTCAATTACGAATGTATACATTGACACATTTCAGGCTTTGTTTGGTTAGAGCTACATCAAACTTTGGCTCCTCCGTGCACTGTAGCTACATTGTAGCGATGAGCCATTTATCTGTTTTTTCTCAAAATAAATTTGAAACCTATAATTTTTTTTAACTCAATTCATTGTCTCTATTTTCTCGGTGCATCCTAGAAAAGCCAGAGCCAAATAAAGCCACGCTAAAAACCCTAGTCGTAAGTATGACGGCACAGGCAAACTATAGCTACTTAATTCAATGTATGTACATAATGATTAACACCTGATTAAAAAAACCTCGACCCACGAGGTAAGATAGCCCCGGGCATTGTGCTTAAGAAGAAGACCTTCTCACGCCGGCACGTGCTCTCCCTTGCCGTCGCACTCGCGCCGTCGTTGCCCTCGCCGAACGAACGGGACCTTGCCGAACGGACGAGCCCCCGCGACCGTGATCCCAGCACGCCGCCATCAGGAGAAGCCAAGCCTGAACGTCGACGCCTCCTCTCCCTCCCCGTCGCACCCGCGCCGTTGTCGCCCTCGCCGTCGCACTCCCGCCGTCGTCGCCCTCGCCGAATGCATGAGCCCCCGCGATCCCAGCGCCGCCATCGGGAGAAGCCAAGCCTGAACGCCGCCACCTCCTCTCCCTTCTCACCGCCTCTTCTCCCTCGCTCGGGGCAGGAAGATAACCCAGGCCCTCGGATCTAGAGCTCTACGTGCTGCTAGGTGAGCAGGATGACCCGGAGGCGCTCCTCGATGGAGTCGCCATGGCCGGCCTCGTCGGCGTCCTCCGCCGGCTCGGGGATCTCACAGAGTGGTGTTGCTTGAATGTTTGCTATCCGATTTTGTTTGTCTTTTTTTAGCATGCACTCTATGTTGGATTTTTTTAGAGATGATTTGCAGGGAGTGCCACTTGGATTTCTGCACAAAGTGGGACTACGAATAGAATCTACATCCACTTCAACCTTAACTATAGAAACACATTGATCAAAATAGCTCGCTTCATATTACTGTAAATATCTTGTCTAATTAACTGGCGAGCATTCTTTCATTCTGCTTTTCTAAATTTTTGACAGGGGGAAGAATGAAGAAGAATGTGGCACATCCAAGGTGAAGGTTGAAGCAGCCGAATGCTCTGCATGCTTTGCTTTTCTGAATTTGGGACATGAATGTGTCTATGGATTGGCTGGCCATGTTGCAAAAAGGTAATAAATGGGCAAGAATGAGATGCTGATCATTCTGATTTCTGGTAGGCAGATTAGTTGTCCATATCATTGTGCAAATTTTGTTGTTCAGCAAACCTCGTTAATATTGGGGCATCTATTCAATTGATTCACAGCAATAGTACACCTAGCTGTGCTAAATCTACTTTGCACCTGATGAGCACAGTGCAGTGTAGCTCATCGTGCCACTGTCAGCAAAGCCCTCTTGCAATAACCAACGGCAAAATGTCTCGTGGCCTAGCGTGTGCCGGAACGGGTAGCCGCATCATCTTGCTAGCAGTCAGCTCATCGGTATGAAGGAACATGTGGGGTTGATGACTAGCATGGAGAATCTTGAGAAGTAGGTACATAAACCTGAATACCTGATGCAGGGAGGACATCACCGTCCATTATTGGATTTAGGGGTCATCGATATATTTGACTTCGGACAACTGTTATTGTGACCCAAAATTATGACCATGACATAGTCCTCAAAAGTATGCTGAATCAAGTCATGCCAGAAGACAGAGGTCATGAGTAGCATGGCACTGGGAAAGAAAACTTGGAGGAGGAGAACCTAGCGGCACAGATTAGAAGCACATTGAAGCGAGTTATGCACTTGTGCCTTGTGCCATTGACCAAAGTCTACAGTCAAGGTAATTATAGGAATTCTTATAGAAAACAAATCATGACAGAAACAATGGACCATGATCAACTCGTTGAAGAACTGAAATGGTGCCTGGTTGAAAGGTGGTAGATTAGAATTATTTCATTGCTTATTCGATAATTGATTACTTAATCCTTCACAGATGCCATTGAAGTGGAATTTCTGTGCCCTTTTGTTATTTGTTTGTCGATTTAGTCAATAACGCCTACGCAGTAAAAATACATGATAGATTCATTGTAAGATCAACAATGCAATAAAATAACCGACATTTTTTATCTGAACAAAAAGACATACTAGACAACCTTGCACTTGACATCTTATTTTCTCTATTTGGTGTTTAATCTCGGGGCGACCATTCAAGTGTCTCATCAAAAATTTGATCTTGAGTTCAGACTGCATGTTGCTGCTGCCACACTGCTGATTTAATAGTAGTAAAAAGTTTGAATTTTGGAAGAAGGGGATATTGCAGCAGACAGCAATAAAAAGGTAACTTTCTGAAACTTTTAACAGAATGGTAGTGTGGCAATTCGGCGCTAACTCTGCGTCAATTCGGTGCTTTGTGTTACACCTTAACATGTGTTATCTTTGCAGCTTGACAGGCTTGGTGTACATCTGCACTCTATCAGGTTGCTTGGTCATTTATATTTAGCGTTACCACACTGTTCTTGATCCTTCAACTACCTGTGGAGTACTTTCTTTATGTACAGCCAAAGGCCCCAAGTGGAGAGCTACTCATGTACATGAGTCACATGGAGGTAATGTTGTCATATCAACATAGGTGATCAAATTTACTTAGTGTCTCAATGTCTTCCTTCAGTATGAATGGTGATTGTATTATCAAGGTCTTACCAAGTACAGATCCTACATGTTTTTCTACATGACCATGGTGTGATTGTATTATCAAGGTTTCCTTGGTTGCTCCCAGCAAAATCAATCATATCTAGGGCATAATTAGTATACTGCCATCCTGAATCAATCACATTTTTCTACATGACCATGGTGTGATAGTTTCCCTCTGTTAGGTTACCGAAATTCTCCTTTCTGTTAGTCGTCTACCGTTTTCCCTGTTGTTGGTGACTATGCTAACATATGTTGGCTGCCAATCTTTGTTTCACTGATAGATTGCTTGATGGTCCTGATTTTGGGAAGATTGTTATAGTTCCATTTTCATCGTATTTGCTTCGCATATAGTGCAGCCACCTCTGTTCAAGATGTTTTGGATGTTGTTCGCCTCATAATGTGGGATCTCACTGTGTCCTGTTTCAGGCACTTTATTTTTGTCTTCCTTTCCGTGATCTATTGCTGGAGCACTATGCAAACAATAAAAACATTGGAGATCTTGAACAGAGCATGCTAACCTCCCTGGCTGATCTGTTTTCTCATGTACTACTACAACTATTGGTTCTGATTGTTATTCCTGTTCTCAACTTCTTGGATACCCTGCAATGTGTAGCGACCAATAATAGAACATGTTGATCTAGATTTTACCTCGCCCCATTATGCTTCTCTATAAGGAATTGCATTACAGATAAAGTAGAAAGAAAAATACAGAAGCCGAGCTACAACGATGTGTTTGTGAATTTATGGTTACTGATCTCCTTCCTATAATTCTGTATTTCTTATCACTTTTAACTCAACAGTCTTGCTGATTGAAACATAGAGGTGGGACTTACTTTGAGCACCTCTCAAATCTGGATAGCGTCATCAAATTTCTGGTCTTCACACTCCGTAAAGGCTTAACAATGTGTATGTGACATACATTACGATGTTGCTTTGTGCCGGACCCCTCTTTTAGTCTTCTTTTCGATTGACCAATTTTTTTAATTCTTGCTTCGAATAATAGTGTATATGACATGCCATTTCGAGCCAAACATTTATATCATATCTATTTTGCATTGAGCTGAGGTCTCTTCTGACATGGTATAATTGAGATATATTACTGCGGTATGCCAGACCCCTCCTGCTCTTCGATTCCATTGACGCTTGGAAGAGTGCTGCATATGACATGCTGTTTCAACCAAACAATTCATATGATATTGGCTCCGTTCGCGTGCTCTTAAATCTGGTTTGATCCGCTTCTTTTTTCATCCGGAACATTGTTTTCCTCTCACAGATTTCACCAGAATTCCTCCGAACCATCCAAATTTCTCTAGAACCATACCATCCGAACGAGGCCATTGGCTTCGCATAGTAGTTCATCATATGTCACATATTCCCTATATAGTGCAAATATTTATAATGAATCCCTAATGCTTATGTCGAAGCTCATCATAAAGGAATACTTTGCTCGAATCCTCATATGGAATTGTCCAAATTTGGTTTCATCCTTCCTTTAAGATTAAAATAGTGCCATACTGGGATCAATTTATTTTAGCACCTATTTAAGGTGTAGCCTTTCTTCTTTATATACTTATAATAGGTAGTTAACCTAAAGTCTTCATATATGCTTTTAAAGTCTTCATATATGTACAGCAAAATCATGTATTCAACCAATCACTATCTTTTGTTGACCCGTGCCAATGCGTGGGGTATTGTCCAACTTTGATTTTTTTGATTAAATGTCAGTTTAATGTTGATATTTAATTTCACAGTATTATTATCTTATGATAAGATCCAAATATTTTTAGAACAAAAGTTTAGTCAGATAATTCTGTCTTTTTCTCTTCTCTCTCGTGTATCGTCGGCTTTAAACGGACACAAGGGCTAAAACCCTCTCCACCATCCGTCCACCTCACCCCATATCCGCTTCCTTCCTCTCGAGCATCTCGTCCTCGCTCCTCAACTCGCCATGGGTACTTCCTCGCTCCTCCCGGATCCCGCGTCGGGTTTCTCGGTTTCTCCATCTAGTTGCTGCTGCTCCCTCCTGCTCCGTGCTGAGATCTGACCAAAGGGGTTTTGCTGACTTTTTTTTTTATTTTTGCTGGATGGATTTCTGGACGCAGGCAAGATCAAGATCGGAATCAACGGTGAGTTTCTACCCGAATCTAGTTCTTCCTGCTCGGTTTGTCGGGTTTGGAGTCTTCTGACTGGTTCTCCCTGCGTCTGCGTGTGTGATTTTGCTCAGGTTTCGGAAGGATCGGCAGGCTCGTGGCCAGGGTCGCGCTCCAGAGCGAGGATGTCGAGCTGGTCGCCGTCAACGACCCCTTCATCACCACAGACTACATGGTTACGCCTCTATCTGTTGCGTTTGTTCCGTGCCATGAGTAGATCTGGTGGTTTACAAGGTTTTAGGTTGGGTTTAGCACCGATCCGTCAGCCAGCATGCTCGATTCAGTTAATCGTGGCGTTCGGAGTCGTTTAGCTTCAATTCTTTACTGGGCCTCTCCGTAGATCTGGGGCTTCTATTGGTTCTGTTGCTCTATTACAACATATTATACTGTCACTCTGTCAGTATAAGTATCAGCTTGAGGTGTCGTAGATTTGGTGCTTACTTCACTTTCTGAATTTTGAAAATCTGTGTGCTGTGCTCATGGTTTATGTGCTCCCCATCTTGCGTAGACCTACATGTTCAAGTATGACACCGTGCACGGCCACTGGAAGCACAGTGACATCACCGTCAAGGACTCCAAGACCCTCCTCTTCGGTCAGAAGCCGGTCACCGTCTTTGGTATCAGGTACTCCCCTCTCCTGCTTCTCTCATGGATGGGTTGAGTTTGTCTTCAAGCTGTGAGCTAATGTTTGAACTGCTGCGATTCTACAGGAACCCTGAGGAGATCCCGTGGGGTGAGGCTGGTGCCGACTATGTCGTGGAGTCCACTGGTGTCTTCACTGACAAGGATAAGGCTGCGGCTCACTTGAAGGTATAATTGCTGCTTCATGATCCTATGGCTGTTTCAGAATGTTTGCAGGTTGTCTGCGTATCATTTTATTCCCAATTCCTGACTTTATGCATTTGTGTGGTCATGTACGTGCGGTGGACAAATTGAGTGATGGCTACCTAGTATTTGGGTTTAGCAAATCGTGTCCTAATTTTCACCAGAAAACTTTCTTATTAGTACAGCTTGCAAACTCACAACCTGCATCCAGGCAGAGCTTGGATGTACACTACCTTCAGTATAATTCAATTGGTGTATGCTTCTGATAAGCTGTAACAACCTGAGGTTTTGGTTTTGCATAGTAGTTGTCTAGGGCCTGATTGGTTGGCTACCAATTTTTGCCCAACCAAAATCATGGCTAGCCTCGGTTTTTCCCTTCCCCAGACCCCACTCATGAAGTTAGGGCAAAAAGCATAGGTGTGCATTTGGTTGACTGCCAAAATCAAGGCTTGCCAATTTTTCTCTTTTATATGCAGTTTAAGAACTTTCTAGAGATTTGCCAAAACTTTGGCCATAAACATTGGTGTGCCAATTCTTTGGCAATGAACCAATTGATGACTACAAATTTTGGCATGCCATGACTTTGGCTAGGCAAGAATTGGAAGCCAACCAATCAGGCCCCTAATGTTAGTTTTGTTGTTATAATAAGAGTTACTGGAGTCTTTATAGAGAATCTAGAAATTGACAGACAAGATGATTTAGTGTTATGACTAGGATCTAATACACCCATGTACTCTATACTTTGCTGCCTTACTTGTCAGATCGCCTTGAGCCTTGTAAATTTCCCTGTTAATTTGGATGTTTCTGACAGCTGTATTTTCCTTTTTTTTTTAATTATTATATAGGGTGGTGCCAAGAAGGTTGTTATTTCTGCCCCAAGCAAAGATGCACCCATGTTCGTTGTTGGTGTCAATGAGGACCAGTACACCTCAGCTATTAACATTGTTTCCAATGCTAGCTGCACAACAAACTGCCTTGCTCCCCTTGCCAAGGTGTGTGACACCCGCCCCCCTCCCCTTTATTTGGGTGATCTTTTCAGTTGTCTGCTCTTCTGATGTACTTTGATTTACTAATGGTGTGTAATGTTATTAATTAGGTCATCCATGACAACTTTGGTATCATCGAGGGCCTGATGACAACTGTTCATTCCATCACTGGTAAGTTTTCTTTGGCTGTCGAGCTATCTCCCCTCCCAGGATTATTGAGAAGATACATTTAGTTGGCTGTATAATGACAGTGTGGTACTTATCTGTCAGCCACCCAGAAGACTGTTGATGGACCCTCAGCCAAGGACTGGAGAGGTGGCAGGGCTGCTAGCTTTAACATCATCCCCAGCAGCACTGGTGCTGCCAAGGTATATAATAAATTCAGCAATTCACAATGTTGGATGGAGTGAGCTAATATTTGTTCTTTTTGTAAGTGTTGGTCATTTATTCAGACTGACTTGGCCTGCTGATTGTGTTAAATTATTGTTCTGCTGTGTTTTGGTTTCATGTAGCTTCATGAATAATCCATATGTATGTGCAATTCATGTAGCTTCCTGTTGCTACATGAGTTATTATATGGCTAATTTACGTAGCCATATGAGCATAGACAATAGCTAAATGAGCATTAAGCATTATCCTGGTTGATTGCCATCCTAGTTCAAACTGAACCTATACTTCCTCTATAGTTTGGGTCGTTGTTCACCTCATTTTTCTTTTTAGTGTAAAGTCGATATCCATTCTATTCTGATGATTATAGATGGATTGCTGTATATTGACTTTCAATATTTATGAATTGCAGGCTGTCGGTAAGGTTCTTCCTGATTTGAATGGCAAGCTCACTGGTATGTCCTTCCGGGTTCCCACCGTGGATGTGTCAGTTGTTGACCTCACTGTCAGAATCGAGAAGGGTGCCTCCTATGAGGATATCAAGAAAGCTATTAAGTAAGTGATTAGTCCATTTAATTTTTAATATTCAGTCAATGTGAGTGTATTGTTCTTTTTAAACCAATGCCTATGAATGTAATAACCCACCTTGTTGGATTTATCTCTACTATCACATTTGATGTTCACTTTTTATGTTTCCTGCATCTATCTTGATCTTATAGTAGTTTATCCATCTATTTTGGTAAGGATTGATGACAGCATTTACTTAATTGCTATTGCTTTACAGGACTGCTTCTGAGGGCCCACTCAAAGGTATCATGGGCTATGTGGAGGAGGATTTGGTTTCCACCGACTTTGTTGGTGACAGCAGGTATGCCTTTGCTTTGTATCATTTAGGAGCCAGACATAACTGATTTTTATGGCACAGTTATGTCAAATTCTGATGGTGTTCTCTGTTCATCTGTTGGTTTGTGTAATCTCCATATTCATTTGTCATTTTGCTGCTTCTACTTAGGTCGAGCATCTTCGATGCCAAGGCTGGTATCGCCCTGAACGATAACTTCATCAAGCTTGTCTCGTGGTACGACAACGAGTGGGGCTACAGCAACCGTGTCGTTGACCTGATCCGCCACATGTTCAAGACCCAGTAGAGACTTTTCTGCTTTCCATCGCATCCCATGGCCTTGGTCGCTGTCCATCCAGCTGCTTGTCTATGCTGAGAATAAATGTGAATGGTGCCTCTGGACGCCCGATTCATGCTGAGTTTGGACATGTTTTGTGTTTCCATTTCTGCTGCCATCCTGTAATGAATTCGCTAATATGGGACCTGAGTTTAGTTTTTGCTTATGAAGAATATAGACAGTGGGATTGCAATTTTGCTGTGCTTAGCTGGTTTGGTTGCATAGATGAGCTGGTCCTTGGGAATAATAGTTTCTTGTTTCGTCATGTTTCTGTGTCCTTAAATCCTTTGTGTTCAATGTTATTTGCCGTGTATTCTCATTTAAGTTATCAATTGGTCTTTTTTTTTGTACCTTTGGTGGTTCCATTTGTGTGGTAAGCGAGATGTGAAATGGTGGCCAACGAAGCCGGGCACACTACGGTCTTCTGCTGGTTGGAACTTGGAAGAATGAGATTCCTTGAGTTCTTTTTTTTTTTTGATTGATGTGTCTGCGTTGTGCTTTGATTGATGTGTCTGCATGTGACCGGCTGATTGCAGTGGACCTGTGGTGCTCATTTTGCTGCAGATTCAGGCACTCAGCAAACTCGTCGATTACACAGGTATACACAGGCTATTAGATTCATTGGCTTTCATGGCAAACACTTTCAAGCAGGAAGGAGAAAGGGGCCCTGGGTTATTGTGACCTTCATCTATTCAGCTTGGCAATGCTAGGATTGAGTACACGGAGTCGCTCTGTGCTCGCCTTCTGCGTTCCAAGTCTTGGCTGAATGGTGAATTAACAGCAGCGAGAGAACCTGGGATATCCTATTAGCTTGAACCTGGGATATCTCCCATATCCATGGATCCCTGCTGGTATCACCCGTAGACCGAGAACACCGAAAGGGATCACGAACTAGTCAAGGACATTTTTTTTGGGAAGAAGATGCGACTAATATTCTTGCTATACCTATCAGTCCAAATAGAGAAGATTTGATTGCCTGGCACTTTGATTCAAAAGGGGTCTTCTCTGTGAAATCGGCATACCACGTTCTTGAAAGCTTGGATGAGCAAGGAAGACAAGTACAACAAGGTGAGTCTTCCAGCCGTGCTGCCAAGAATCCACATGATGAAATATGGATGAAGATCTGGAAGCTGCCATGTCCCCCAAAGATTAAGCAATTTGTTTGGAGGGTCGCACATAAAAGCTTGGCTATGAAAATGAACATCAAAAGGCGCCAAGTTAAGCTTGATACGTGTCGGGGACTGATACTAGGGTACCCGAAGATGAGCTAATAGTCATCAACATTGATTCATCCGAGCAGTCAAGAGCGCGATTACAGCTCCAACCGACCCCTAGGTGCGCGGGCTCCGCCTCGCCCGACCTCTGGGGGCGGGCTCCGCCTCGCCCGACCCCTTGGGTGCGGGCTCCATCTCGCCTGATCCCAAGGCCGCGGGGGTCTCACCCAAAGCCACGGGCTCCGCCTCGCCCGACCCCAAGGATGCGGTTTCCGCCTCGCCCGACCCCTCGAGTGCGGGCTCCGTCTCGCCCGACATTGAGGCCGCGGTTTCCGCCTCGCCCGCCCCCTCGGGTGCGGGCTCCGTCTCGCCCGACCCTAAGGATGCGATTTCCGCCTCGCCCGACCCCTCGCGTGCGGGCTCCTTCTCTCAAGGATGCGGTTTTCGCCTCGCCCGACCCCTCGAGTGCGGGCTCCGTCTCGCCCGACATTGAGGCCGCGGTTTCCGCCTCGCCCGCCCCCTCGGGTGCGGGCTCCGTCTCGCCCGACCCTAAGGATGCGATTTCCGCCTCGCCCGACCCCTCGCGTGCGGGCTCCTTCTTGCCTGACCCCGAGGCCGCGGGCTCCGTCTCGCTCGACCCCTTGGGTTCGTGCTCCGTTTCGCCCAGACCGCGGTAAGCTCCGGATGCTTCTCCGCCACCGCTACTCCTCCGTTAGCGCGTAGGCCCGCCGGACCAGTTGCGCCGCCACGCGGATTCCCCGTCGACGTGGGTAGGTGAAATTAGTGCACAGTTGGACGTGCTACCGATTTCTACTGCCGCGCGCAGGTCCGGATGTCTCGATCGGCTTCACAGGCGAGTAGATGGGGGTCTCTGTACGCTGGCATGGGCGTGCAGTGCCGGTCGGAGTTGCGTCGGCGTGCGTGGGCGCAGCGGGGACCCGGTCGTTGCGAAGACGGTATTTCCCGGGGTGTTTTGTGCAAAAGTCGAGACTAATGGAACAGTGTAGCACGACGTAGTTGAATTCGTGAGAGTATGAGCCCTCTTTTGCAAATGTGTTGATGCTGCTGCTGGCTTCCTCCGTGGGCGTTAGCTAGGCTTGCTGTTATGCAGCATGTCGCCCATCATGCCCGTCTGCGCGTGGGTTGTTGGCTAGAATTGCATTGCCACCCTTTTCGTTTTCTAAGCCTTTTTCCAATTTAGTCTCTAGAGTAAATTTGTAAGTTCAATATAAATTTGTGTAGAGATTCAAAAATTGTGAAACTAATTTTGTTAGAATCCTAAATCATGATCTATCTGCTAGTATATCTTATTCACATAGTTTCGTGATATTCCCAGGAGTTAACTAATTAATTTGAAATACTTAATATTATTAAATATGAACTTGTAGGAATTGTTGTAAAGAATTGGTGATAGTGTTGACCCTAAAAATTTCACCGTAAGTTCCTCGTATTATTAGATGCTCGTTGTAATTTTTGTAGCTTTTGAATAATTAGTTTGCTGAGGTAACTAATGAGCCTTAGTTTATACATATAGTAAATAAAAGGAAATAAAGAGACACCTAGGAATTTTATAACTAAAATATTGTGGGAAATTAACGTATAGTTCGACAACGTGGATACGTGGCCTAGTACGTTAGTCGTCAGAGCTAGCCCGTTAGCCTAGCGGTGTAATCGTATTTTAAGCGTTGCGGTTGCCGTTGATTAATTACGTTTTCCGCGTGTATCCACAAATGACATAACAAGAACAACGATGGATCTAGAGTTGACCAGAGTAGCAGAAGAGATGGTTCCTTATTGATCATGCCGCCATGATGGAATGCTAATATTTGGTTATATCTTACCCAGGCAAGCCTCGGTGCATAACCCTTATTATTCTGCACTTTATTTTATGCTTGTGTATTAAGTTTAAGGAGTTGAATGAAACCCACTTGCATATATATATCCTTATCCTATGAGTCTTAATAGTATGACAGGATCGTGTAGATTGTATGCTACAGGACTCCGGTAGAAGTCGAATGATTGCCCGTCACTCGCGAGAGATAGGAAAGATATTATTGTCGTTATTATATTACTATCACTTGGAATATATATAAATGATAATTGGAGACCGGGCTGAATGGTATTTTAGATCTAAACTTGGTTAGGCATTCGAGCGAGGCTCAGATTGCACTTGTTCTGCCTTTTCAAGAAAATAAAATCACTTATCTATGGTTCCAACTCACTTGACAAATGGATTGCAAACTTTGGTAAATTGTTCGTCCGATTTTTAGTGTCAAACGATATACTGTACATACATTTTTAGTGTCAAACGATATACTGTACATACGTACATGGACACGTGTCCATTCGAATGGTTCATTTTCGATTAGCTAATGCTCTCGTGAGGGCATCTGGAGGGTGACGGATACGGCTTCCCCGCTCGCTACCGTCGTCCGCTTGCTCCCGTCCGCGCCCCTTAAAAAAATAATCTCTCTACCGTGCTTCTTCTCCGCCGCGCCACTCGCTTGCGCATCCGCCTCAACCATGCTGCTTGCTCGCCGCGGCCGCCTCGGTCGAGCTGGCGAGCCTCCACGACAGATGCTCCACCAAGCAGGCGAGGGGAGGAGCTTCTTGTGACGTCGCCCCGCCAACGAGTTGCACGTGCCGCTGTCGCACCGGTTTGCTCCATGCACCACCGCCGACCTCCGCAACGACGGACTTCCATTCGTACTCCGAGCAGCAATGTGACATTGCGCTGAAAAGCACATGTTGCAAGAGTATATTTCAAATGAGGCCCCGTTCGGCTTACCCCATATTCGGCTTGTTCGACTTCTTTTTTCAACCGAAACAGTGTTTTTCTCTCACAACAATTCAGTCAGAACAGTGTTTTTCAGCCAGTTTTAGCCAAAATTCAGCAAGCCGAACAGGGCATCAGAGTTATGTTGCAATGGATGTTGCAAAAATAGATTAAGACGTTGCAATAGCTATACACGTTTATTGCAAATGTATGTTCCAAATCATTCATATGTTTTCCAGACGTATGTCGTTTGCAAGTGTTTTATCTTGATGTTGTATATATTTTACACATATGATGCAATTGTTTTTATCTATATGCTGCATATGTTTGCAATGACTTTTCAAGTGTTTTTAGGTGTTTTTGAAGTGTTTCAGATGCATGTTTCAAATGTTTCATCTATATTAAGACGTACGTTGTAAACGTTTTATTTGGATATTTCAAAAGTAAATTAAGTGTTTGTACATGTTGCGATAGTCCCGGTAGCTGGCTGCCCACCACCATTCCCTTAGTCCACGAACTCTCTGACCAGTGCCACAACCTTGTCGTGGGTCACTAGCAGCTCCGGCGCCCAGCCTCCTAGGACGACGCAGTCAAAGGGATGGCGGCGCGGCCTCCCGAGACGATGTAGTCGAGGGGGATTGCGGCGCGGACTTCCCGAGATGACGCAGTCGAGGGGGATGGCGGCGCGTGTACGGAAGCGGAGGGGCCGCGAGTGTCCGAACGGGAGACGGATAGGGCGTGGGTTCGCGTGAAACGGAGGAGCAGGCGCCGCTGGCTGGACGCGGACGTCCATCTGGGGGAGATCTAATTATTTGCCACTCTTACGGTGGCTGCCTCTCCGTTTGCCAACTTTATCGTGCCAATTACAAAATTGCCCGAGAAAACAGTAACCAGACTAATATTTTGCCATTTTCGCTGACGTGTCATGCCAGATCAGCGCGCCAGCGTGGAAGTTAACGCCTCCGTCTCCGCTGACCAATGGCGCCCGCAACTGTTCGTCATTCCGATAACCTGCGCCATTTTAGTATTCCTGTTCGCGCTCCAGCACTACGGCACCCACCGCGTAGGGTTCCTCTTCGCGCCGATCATCCTCGCCTGGCTGCTCTGCATGAGCACGATCGGCCTGTACAACATCATCCGCTGGAACCCCCAGGTCTACAGGGCACTCAATCCCTCCTACTGATGAAGTCTGTCGTTTTTTTCAGCTTGCTTTCACTTCTTTGGTGTACACTTCACTGATCCTGGGATACATGGGCCAAGCTGCTTATTTGTCCCAGCACCATAACCTTGACGCAAGCTACCAAATTGGATTCTACATTGCAGTTCCTGGTACGCCACACTACTACATGGCTGGTTTATTCTCACATCACACTACGCTTTCAGAGTTTCAGACATTCACAGGCTTTTGCCTCTGTGATGAATGCAGAGAGTGTAAGATGGCCAGTGCTAGTGCTGGCGATCTTGGCGTCGGTGGTCGGCAGCCAGGTCATCATCAGCGGCACGTTCTCCATCATCAGCCAGAGCCAGTCACTGAGCTGCTTCCCCAGGGTGAAAGTCGTGCACACGCCTGACAAAGTTCATGGCCAGATATACATCCCTGAGGTCAACTGGATCCTCATGGTCCTCTGCATTGCTGTCACTGTTGGTTTCCGTAACACCAAGCACATGGGAAACGCGTCTGGTGAGTATAGTATCTTGCTTTCCTGGCACTGATGATCATGTGCAGAAAACTGATCCAACCATATACCTGAACTTTTGCTTCTGAATTGTTGTGCAGGCTTGGCCGTGATCACGGTGATGCTGGTGACGACGTGCCTCATGTCCCTGGTGATCATGCTGTGCTGGGACCGGTCTCCATGGCTGGCCCTCGCCTTCTTCCTCTTCTTCGGCTCCATCGAGGCGCTCTACTTCTCGGCATCGCTGATCAAGTTCCTGGAAGGCGCGTGGCTGCCGATCCTCCTGGCGCTCATCCTGCTCGCCGTCATGTTCGTGTGGCACCACACGACGATCAAGAAGTACGAGTACGACATGCACAACAAGGTAACCCTGGAGTGTCTGCTGGCGCTGGGCGACAAGCTGGGCATGGTGCGCGTCCCGGGCATCGGCCTCGTCTACACCGACCTCACCTCCGGCGTGCCAGCCAACTTCTCCCGCTTCGTGACCAACCTGCCGGCGTTCCATCGGGTGCTGGTCTTCGTCTGCGTTAAGTCCGTGACGGTGCCGCACGTGCTCCCCGCCGAGCGCTACCTCGTCGGCCGCGTCGGCCCGCCGGGCCACCGCTCCTACCGCTACATCGTGCGCTACGGCTACCGCGACGTGCACCAGGACGTGGACTCCTTCGAGACGGAGCTCGTCGAGAGCCTCGCCACGTTCAGCAACCCGCTGCGGCGGCGACCAGTGGGACAGCAGCTACTACGAGCGCGAGAACGCGCTAACAGTCATCGGCAGCAACCCGCTGCGGCGCCACATGAGCCTGGGCTACGACGAATCCCACTCCCACGACGGCGCGTCGTCTGGCTCTGACCGCGTGGACGGCATAGAGCTCGCCGCGGCGCCGGTGGTCGTGAAGAAGCAGGTGAGATTCGCGGTGGCGCCGCCCAGGAGCCCCGGCGTGGACGAGAGCGTGCTGGAGGAGCTGCACGAGCTGTGCGAGGCGCGGGAAGCTGGCACGGCGTTCATCCTGGGGCACTCGCACGTGAAGACCAAGCCCGTGTCGTCGCTGCTCAAGAGGCTAGCAGTCGCAGTCGGCGTCGGCTACAACTTCCTGCGCCGGAACTGCCGCGGCCCGGACGTGGCGCTGCGCGTGCCGCCGGCGTCGCTGCTCGAGGTGGGCATGGTGTACGTGCTGTAACAGAACGTGGCGGGGATGGGTGACTGCGATCTGTAACAGAACAGACGGAGAGCTGACGAACAGTTGCGGGCGCCGTTGGTCAGCGGAGACGGAGGCGTTAACTTCCACGCTGGCGTGCTGATCTGGCATGACACGTCAGCGAAAATGACAAAATATTAGTCTGGTTACTGTTTTCTCGGACAATTTTGTAATTGACACGATAAAATTGGTAAACGGAGAGGCAGCCACCGTAAGAGTGGCAAATAGTTAGATCTCCCTCCATCTGGAGGTCCGAACGCTAGGCTCACCGTTTTCCATATACCGTGTCGTGAATCGGATGGACACGTCCTCCTCCCACGTCCTCGCTCGACGAACGCACGGCCACAGCCCACAGCAGGATGGGGACAGGGGAGGCCGAGAATCTTGCCTTGGGCCATGGGCCGCAAACGTGAACCGCGTGGCCCGCGCCCGGCTGGTCTGGTCGTCTGGATGCCACCGCCCACCGCGACGCAATCCAAACCCGATCTCTATCCAGCGAATCCATCGGCCGGCGTCTGGTGGGTGGTGTGGGCTGGTGGCTGTGATTGCCTGCAACTGCCAGATTGGAACGGTCGCGTCGGGTCGGCTTCCCAGCGTGGACCAGGCTGGGGACTCACATCGCCGCGGCGGCGGGCGGTTGGGACTTGGTGTGGGTTGGTTCGTTCGTGTGTGCGCCCAGAGCAAAGCCGAGGCCCAGACCAAAACCCAGAGATATTTGAATGTTTCGTTTGCATCAACTCCCTTTTCTTCTGCTTCTTTGCATCTGGTTGTAAATTACAAATATATTTTATAAATAAAAAAACAAAAGATAGTACATTATCCACGTCGCAAGTGCCTGGTACTGAATTCTCTACCTAACCGTGACCGTGATTCATTCTCTTTGATCGCTCGAGCTACTTTTCAGTTATAAAACAGTGTTTTTCTCTCACAATATTTTAGCATAAGCATCAGCATAAATCAAATTTCAATATAAACGAATATGGTGATTGATTGTACAAGTATACACGGTTACTTGGCCTCAGAACTGAAGAAATTACACTCGATCCCGTGTACCTACTGCCTACTGGCCCCATACTACTAGGGGCTTGTTTAGATTGCCTCAAAGTTCCAAGTTTTTTCACTCTCTCTTCATCACATCAATTTTTAGACGTATGTATGGAGTGTTAAATGTAGGTAAAAAAAGTAACTAATTGTACAGTTTGGTTGTAAATCACGAGACGAATCTTTTAAGCTTAGTTAGTCTATGATCGGACAAAGTTTATCAAATACAAACGAAACATGCTACAGTGTTCAGATCGTAAAAAATTACGATCTAAACCAGGCCTAGTGTATGAATGAAAAAACCCAATGAACTTTGAAACGGGAGAGTGAACAAGCAAAAGCCCCCGCCCTCCACCCCGCGCGGCAAAGGGGGATTAGGGGAATCCATTTTCCAAATTTATTTTTTCAAGTCCAAATCCAAATCCAAAATTATCCAAAGAGAAAAGAAAACCGTCGCCCTTTTCTTCCTCTACCCTTGCTTCGCGTCTTCTTCCTCCCCAAGGCTTCTGCCCTCGCCTACACGCCTCCGCATATAGGCAGAGTCGCCCTCTCGCCGCCCCCCCTCGCCTTTCCCAAATTAGCGCCACCGCCACCTCCACCTCCGCCGATCCCGCCGCCACCGCCCCTCCCGGGAACGAAGCCGAGCCTCCCGAATCTCCCACCACCCACCCGCCAAACCTTATAGGCCGGCCCCGGACCGCTCCCCACCGGCTCGCGCCTCCGCCTCCGCCGCCGCCTCCCGGTCCGCCGCCGCGTCGCGTGGGGGGAGGAGGAGGAGATGGCCGCCGCCGCCGTCGCCTGCAGGCGCGCGCTGCTCCTGCACGGCCACCAGCAGTGGCCGCAGCGGTGGGCGGCGGCCGCGCCCTGCCCCCGCACCATCTCGCAGCTCGTCAAGACCAACGGCCGCCGCGCCTTCCTCGTCGACACCCTCGCCCTGGTAAGCCTAGCCTCCGGGTTCTCCTCTTACCATACTGCCGTTCCGTTTCGGCTTCCGCCAATGCTGGGCGTGCCCGAGAGGTGTTCGGGGGAATGCTCCGGATAGTTGCTGACGCGTGTGCGCCTTTTCGCCGGGATGATCGTGTCGCTCGCAGGTCAGGAAGCTGGAGTCGCAGGGCGTGCCCACCAAGCAGGCGGAGGCGATCACCTCCGCCATCACGGAGGTCCTCAACGACAGCCTCGAAAGCATCTCCGAGTCCTTCGTCTCCAAAGCCGAGATGCAGAAGGTAAACGCTTTTGACATTGTGCTGCGGATTTCTTCCTAGTGTTGGTTATTTGTCTTCCTCATTTGCTGGTCTTGCTTGGCCTTTTGCAGAGTGAGATGCTGCAGGAGTCCAATATCTCCAAGTTCAAGTCGCAAGTGCAGAGCTCGCAGGTATGGTTCAAAGCGAAAATGTTAGATCATGAGAATTAGCTGTCCCTGGATTTTCATTGAACTTAATGTGGGAGCTTGTACAGGTTCCACATAAACTGTTGCTGGCTTAAAATTGAACTTGATTGCCTAGCTCGTACTATTATAGGCCCCGTTTAGCATTTTCTGGGGTGAAGCACTTAGCATTGCTTCCTCTTTGGCTTGTTTTAGATTGTTCATTTGAGCAGTACAGGGGTGATTGGATGAAGGTTTGTACAGCCTGATTTAGATCTGCTGCTCATTAACATGATCGGGTTATTAGTTTGTGGAATAGATGTGTGTGAATGGAGATTACGGATTGAGATCACCCATTTGAAACAACCATTTATCTGTGCCTCAGATTATGTTGGGTATTATACTATTATGTCTTGGCCATTTTGATCATCTTAAATTGCAATGAGACTGGTACATTTTGCTCACATGTCTTAGCACTTGGCCTTTTATTTTGAGTTAACGTCAGTGGTCTGAGCTTGCCATGTAGAAGTTATTCACAAATCATCAAGTTACATTAGTTCAGGCTCATCAGATGTACTGTTTGCCTTGGATCCATTACAGCACCCTTTCTCAAATCAACTTACATCATGAAATGTTAGTGTGGTACCCACAATAAGTGATGGACGTATGGTAGCTCTCTGAGCCTTTGGTGAAATCTCTTATCTCTGATACCCTGGGTATGCCAGCAGTAAAGCTGGGGAGGAATAAAATTATTTTCCTTTTCAAAAACTATTATTAGTACTGCAACACAGACATGTGCGTTTGAATTAGCTAAGATTGTTATGCATCGCACCATTTTTTTTTATTTTCAACAATTAGTTTCAAGCTTGCAGCCTGTTGGTTTCATACAGGTTCCAGAAGCTAGTGCCTGCATTTTTGGAGTTTCCTAATATGTCGTTATACACTCCATAGAATGTCTTTGCTACGCAAAAGAGAATTCTGTTCTCATACATTCTATTCTTATAGAATAAAATATTTATTGGTACTTTCAAATAGGTCTAGTGTCAGGTATAAGTGAATAACAAATGCTTAGCTATTGGAACACAATAGAATCTTCAGTTTTTAGCCACAGGCATTGCGAAATTGTTTACTGTTTTTATTAATGTTTTGGAAAATATCTTGAGAATAAATAGTGTGTTGGGTTAAGTTAATCCCTACTCCCCATCCAGTTGATAGCTGATATTTTGATATTTTATTTCCCTCTGAACTTCAAGATGCCTTGCTGATTGTGCTCATTGGCTCAACTTGTTATTTAATGTTTTCTTCATCTCATCATCCATTATTGTTGATGTAGACTGAGACTTGTCTTTTTGGGGTTCTTGATCTCCTAGATGTATAGGAGGATTATTTTGTTCTGCTGATCCACAACCATATAGAACTACTAATTCTCATTGTTTCAGCTACATGTCTTGTTTGCACTGAACTATCCATTATCTAGTTTGGAGGACCATTCTGATGCATTATTCGATAGAACCTACTCATAACTCTTTCAGAGAGTGGGGTTACAGAAATTCTGTCTACGATTTAAGAGCCAGGAGCTACATATCTAATACTCTGGTTTGTATGCATGATGCGGATTGTTCTCACTGTGATCCCAGTTTGGGAGTTGGGACTAAAAGGCATCGTTGTTGTTATGTGCTCTGCAATGTTTTAGCTGAACCTAATACTACAGAACTGCAGATTTCAATTTGGCAGTTGAAACCGCTAACCTAAAAATAGTTCTTCTGTGCACTGTGTTTGCATGGATTGCACTTCACATGTCTTCGTCTTGCTGCTTTTCTCTTTACATTTTCAATATTCAAAACTGTTGTCTTGAGTACCTCGTCATGCACTTATTCTTATTTGTAATGATTATTACAAGGGTTAATCGTTTAAAAGGGTCCTTTTCATTTCTGTAGGAAAACCATTTCTCTTTGTTACAGCGGGAGACTGAGAAACTTCGTGGAGATATTGATAAGATGAGGAGTGAACTGAAGTCAGTATTAAGTTCAAGAGCTGTTTATATCAGGAATATGAATGAACATACTCAGTCTAATTGTTGATGATGTGAAACAGGTATGAGATTGACAAGGTCACTGCAGGGCAGCGGTTGGATCTGAACCTTGAAAGAGGGTAAGATCATTTGTCTCTATGTAGATATGCTCTCTATGCTGTTCAGTTCTTTTCCCAGTATCTGGCTTCCATCTGCACTTGATCACTAAAACATAAGAACCAATACTTTCTACAAATTTGTGTATGGAACAATCAGAACAAAGAATGATTAACTTGCTCATTATAGAGAAAGCTATAGTGAGTTTGTGACCTTGGCTACGATTCTGGTTACCAGGTCTTTGGCTTGGCCTGCTTATTTTAGTTATCATTGCTCACCTTTCATATGAAAAGGCATTCATGTTCAGGTTTTAAGGTTTGTGGACCTATCTACAATTCTGATGTTTTCGAATTCAATTTGGTGGTTTGGCCATATGCCTTTGGTTGAGATGCTCATAGTTCTCTCTTAGATGCAACCATCTGTTGGTCAGCAGTATACAGAATGTTTAGATCATGAACAACAATGACAGGTTCACATGTGTGCTATATTTTCTAGTGGTGTCTTGCACATGGTCTTAATGTAACTGAAAAACTCACTTTCATAGAACATTTCCAGATGAATGACGCTACTAACTGGCAGAATGTCCATGCCTTTTGAAGGGATCTTTATAGAATCCAATCTCCCTTAAGCCTTTTGAAGGAATCTTTATAGTCTCTTCTGATGAGTTGCACTTTCCACTAGTGTCATAGTTCTGAATGACTGAACAGCGATAGATGTTTTCTTTAGTATTATGCCTTTTGGTGCTAAAACTGTCATGTGTGTGATTATGACACCTGATTGAAACAATGCTCCAGGCGCATACGTGATGAACTTGCCAAGCAGAACGAGGAAACTACTGAGCTTACCACAAAGCTTGACAAGGTGAGTGGCAGTAAACTAAGGCTGCATGTCTGTGCTTTCCGCATCACATCAGAGACCAACCTTAATATTTTGCTACCGTACGCAGGAAATCCACTCGCTGAAGGCCCAGTTGGAGGCAGCAAAGTACGATGTCATCAAGTACTGCATAGGTACCATTGTTTCGATCTCAGCCGTCGGCCTCGCCGTCCTCCGCATCGTGATGTGAAGGCAGCACAGCAAGCAAATACGTTCTTTCGTTTACCCATATTCGTCGTCCGTGGAAACCCGCTAGAAGAGGATTAGGTTCTGATTCTGTTCCTAGTTTTTAGAGGGGACAAGACGTGCTCAGGGGGGGGAAATGTTGTAACACCTGGTAGTAGGGAGATGTTGCTCAAACTTGTAAAATAGATGACTCGTGGAAGAAATGCATCCGAAATGATTCTTTACCTGTGATCAGGCGTACCTTAACGTGCTGCTTTTCCTGGCCTGCTGAAGCCACTTTTACTGCGGGACTCAACTGTGTAGACTCGTCTTGTATTGGAGCCATAAATTTGGGCTCTACCATCTGGCCGTTGTCAGTTCAGCCCAGACGTTTGATTTGATTGATGCTTCTGTTGTTAGCAGTTACTCGCTCTGTTTCAAAATAAGTGCATTTCTAGAACTTAAAGTAAAGATAACAATGTTAGCGAGAAATTATAAAAATACCCTAGATAGAAAGATGCAACCATTATACTTTGGGAAAAGAGAAAGTAGAAAAAGACAAATAGAGTTATGTTGTCTTATACGTAGATGTGCACTTATTTTGGGAAATAAATTGAACTCTAGAAGTACACTTATTATGAGATGGAGGGATTAGCTGTATTGTATGTGGTGGTCATCTTGCAGTTGCACTGACATGACATGAAGCAGCATCCAAGGCCTGGTTTTGGCCCAACTCCAGCCATCCATAATAATCCATTATTAGTGTAGTTTCTTTCTCCATGGCTGCAATTTTTGTTCTGAAAGTTTCTTCCAGTCGTCGACGGCGACGTGTATCTTCCGAAGATCAATGGGTGAAATGTACAACAGTACAAGCAGCAGCACTCCCGAAGCCGAAAGCTGGAAAGACGCTATCAGACTATTTGCCCAATATCCATCCAGATCCAGATCCAGAGCCACTCCATGCCTATTTGCCCGCAAGCGTCTAGATATTATTATGCACGCAGCGGTCGATGTCGATGCAACAAACTAACCGTAGATATTATACACGCAGCTGTCGATGTCTACACAACAGTTGGCCTCGTTCGGTTTGCTGAAACTTGGTTGAAATTGGCAGAAAAACACCGTTCTGGCTGAAATGTTGTGAGAGAAAAATACCGTTCCGGCTGAAAAAAAGAAGCCGAACAAGCCGGATTTAAGGTAAGCCGAACAGGCTTAGGTAGCCATTTTTTTGCAGTTGATGTAGCAGCTGCGGCTGTAGCTCTCTCTTACGTATTACCGTAGCAGCAGCTGCTGATGAACAGGGCCATTGTTTTTATACCCAAAAGAAAAAAGAAAGACTTGCTGTAAAATCTTGGTCCGGTTCAGTTCTGGACTTGTCGTCGTATACATGGCAAGTTGTCACCGAGTAGTTCCTGGTTGAAAGCAACGAGAAGTCATCACCTGAAGCCGACGTTGTTTTTCGTTGGCCGCCAGCTGCGTGCTTTTTGGGGGTAGTAGGAGTGCGTGGGGTGTGCGTCTCTCTCTACAGGTAAGATTTTGTTTAGATCTGATGGTCTATAAATTTATTAACTAAATTTTAGACCATTTTTAACTCTTGCGGCTCTAAATAGGTGGTTTATAATATTATCTAAAATTTAGCTAACTTTAGAAAAAAAAGGTCCGATCCGATAATTTATTGGGCCACACAAGCAAGTTAGAGAAAAACAGTCCTATAATTGATAAGCCGGACTGATAAGTTCAAGCCAACGGGACGAAAACAAACACGTACGCAGCAGCTGTTTAGCAAGTTTGGCTTAGTTTGGCTTCTTGAGTTGTTTAATTTGACTTTTGCAGCGGTTTAGCTAGTTTGGTGTAAGTATATAAAAAAAAGTACTTGCTTGAAATAAAACCTACAGTATGATAGATGAAGCTGTCCTGCAGGACGACGACGTATCGTACGCATACGTCTCGCAGGTTCTCGGCAAGTCTAGAGACGACGGAGCATGGCATGACATGGCATTATGCATGCATTGCATGCGTGCATGTATGGCCGTGATGGATGGACGCGTCGTTGTGGGTAGTACAGACGTTGCCGGTCGGTGCCCATATCCTGATGGATGTCTCTAGCTAGCTAGGCCAGGAATGTGCAGCGAGCGAGCCGGCGAGGGATGGATGGAGGAGTGTACGTACGTGGGCCAACGCCCAACGACACTACTCCCGATCGAGTCCCGGCCATCATGATGCATTGCCCCGACCCGACCCCGATCATCATCCATCCAATAATGCAGCTAGTCCATCGATCATTCGATCTCCGTCTCCCGCGACGAAGAGGGAACGAAAGCGACGGCGGCGTGCGTGCATGCATGGACCGCGGGCGGCGGCCCGCCGCCCCTTTCCCATGCAACACGCCGACGTCGCGCGCGCCGCCCGGCCGGCCGGGGCTGGCCTCGATCTCTCTCCCACTTCCAGTGTCCCACATGCATGCATACCACCGCTGCCCGCTGGTCCCGCGGGCAGCGAACGACCGCGCGTCGATCGATCGACTTGCCGATACGCACGGAGGCACGTGGGTTCGCCGCGGGCTGGCTCTATATCTCATCGTATCTCTACCTAACCTAATGCAAACGAATTAGAGTATAGCAAGCTAGCTGTAACTGTAAGTATGTGCTGCTAGCTACACTGTTATTAGGCTGGATGTCAAGTTGTAAGTATAGTATATATGTACTAGTACTGCTATATAAGTATATTCGTATATATTAGTAGTATGTACGTATATGATCTCTATCAACGTCGGGGAGTTAATGGCACCCAGGAAAACCCATGCGCGCAAGGACGGACGGACGGGCGGGACGCCATCCATCCAATCCATCGGGAATTCAAGAGCCAAAGGTGGCTTCGCTGAAAGATCGAGTACTGCTGAGAACGACTGCACGCGAACCGTGGAGATATGTCCATTCTCACAGTTTGGTTGGTGGTAACTCCCGTTCTTCCCCCGAGCGCTCCTCAAAGGCGACTCGGGGCGACCTCGCCGGAGCCTACTACAGGAATGGTTTCTAGGGACGGCTGATGAGGCTTCGTAGAACGACTCGGCCAGCCGCCCCTACCATACCGTCTCTATAAATCATGTATTTGTATAGGCGGTTCCCAGACCGCTCTTATAAATTGATTTGTAGGGACAGTTGGTACCAGCCGTCTCTACAAAATCGATTGGTAGGGGCGGCCGTAGTACCAGCCGCCCCTATAATACCTGTTTGTAGGGGGCGGTTCAGTCTAGAACCGTCTCTACGGTACATTTTTCCGCGCAAAAAAATTTAAATTTACAATTTAAATTCGACCAGAACATATATTTCGTGCTTGCCGCATTATGTGTGAAGGGGAGGAAAAAGGATGGCCAGGACAAAACCAACAACAAGAAGATGGTGGGTGTTGACCTGGACAAGAAAAGACGATTACATCGAATGACTACAGTAAGGTTGAGGGTAAGAAAAAGGTCAACACCGCATCCCTTGAGAAGGAGAGGAAGAAAAAACTTCCCAATGCCAGCACAGGGAAGAATACGCGAAGGGATGATGGCGAGGGAGGGAGGATTATGAGTAACTCTGATACTAAGGTGAAGAGCAAGAAAGTGTCCACCACATTATCTGAGAAGGAGAAGAATAAGGAAAAGCTGAACAAAACACACAGAGAGAAGAAGATGCAGGCTGCTGACAGCAAAATGAGGAATCATGACAGTGGAGTGAACAAGAAGAAGGCGTCCACGATATTTTGTGATAAAGAAAAGAAAAGGAAAAGGCCAAACAATACCAACAGTGAGAAGGAGACTCCGCCAATCACATCTGCTGTTAAACAACCTGGTCGTTTGGATGTGGCTTGTCGTAAACGATCGTAAATTTCCAGCCAGAACAGTATTTTTCTCTCACACAAATCAGTCAGTAGTACTTCTTCATAAACCAACAACGAAACGAACCAGTCAACCGAACAGGCTGAAAGAGAAGAAAATGAGGACCACTGAGAGCATGGAGATTAAGATGAGACATGACCGACAGAATAGGAGAAATGTGTCACTTGATGTATCCAACGACAATAGGAGAATTGGAGCTAGCTTGACAACATTTTGCATAAAAGCTTAAGTAACATAACTTGGAGATTTTATATCTTTAACATCAAATTGAATACCTATTCAATTAAGCACATCTAGATTAGCACCTGTACTACAGCAATCACTTGATTAAGCTAACAAGCATTAGTAACCATATCCGGTATAATAATTTGAGCATCATCATAACCATCAAGTTCCATCAATTAATGCTATGTTGCCGCTGCTCAGTCAAGTTCTTACTATCCGGGAGAGACAACGACTCGAATCGATTCCAACCAGCTGGGGAGTTATTCCTAACACAAACCCATACTTCCCCGTCGGGGTCGCGTCGGATCACCTTTGGTACAATTCAGGTACAGTCGCGGGTCCGAGTAGTGCCGCACCCTTAGGGATTCTACCAGTCTGCCAGGAAGTTCAGGCCCGGCCTGCCCTTGGACTCACGCCACTGGCTCCCCGCACATCCTTACTGCCTCATCAACCATGTAGTTAGTCATTGCTTGTGCTGTTTCATGACCCAATGATCTGAACGACCATTTCTCTCTGCCATAATGATAGCCAAGTGTTCATAAATGTATGGTTGCATCAGTTGTGTACTCAGCAAGACACTGTAATGCGTCCGACTCACTTCTTTGTCATCATGGTCGATAAACACTTTTCTACCACTGGTGCCCTTCCCTACCAGCCTACCCTTGTGACAAGAATCAGGTTTATCAATCCCTTTCTGTACTTTTAGGTACTCTTGACAACACTCGATGACTTCTTCAGTACTGTAACCCTCTATCATGAAGCCCTCTGGGTATGCTCGATTATGCACGTATCAGCTTAGAACCGACATGAACCGCTCGTATGACCACATTTCATGCAAGTAGCAAGGGCTCAGCGTCTGTATCTGATGAACCATGTGAATCATGAGATGTTGCATTATATAAAAAAGCAGGAGGTAAACA